GAAGCATTTCTGATGATGCTCAAGATGGGAAAGTTTCTAAAGGATGCTATCTTGAAAAAGACCAAAGAGCTACAAGGTATGGTGGTGCTAAACCATGAGTGCAGTGCCATAATTCAGAGAAGTTCAGTCCCAAGGAAGCTGTCTGATCCAGGGAGCTTTACTCTCCCTTGTGCTATAGGTCCATTAATGTTTACTGGTTGCCTTTGTGACTTGGTTGCATCTGTCAGTCTAATGCCATTTTCTATAGCAAAGAAGCTTGGATATAGAGTGTTCAAACCTGCTAGAATCTCTCTTGTCCTAGCCAATAGATCAGTGAGGCTACCTGTTGGGATGTTAGAGGATTTACCAGTGAAGATAGGTGGTTTTGAAGTACCTACAGATTTATTTGTTCTAGAGATGGATGAAGAACCAGTTGATCCACTGATTCTGGGCAGGCCTTTCTTGGCCACAGCAGGAGAAATTATTGATGTGAGAGGTGGCATCATTGAGCTACAACTTGGTAAAGAAAAGCAGAAGTTTGATATCAAGGACATGATGAAAAAGCCCACCATAGAAGGACAATGCTTCTACATAGAGACCATGGATGAGCTAGCTGATGATCTTTTGGAGGAGTTAAATCTTGAAGACCCTCTCCAAATAGCTTTAACAAAAGAACATAGTGAGTATGGTTATCTAGAGGATGAGACCTTGGGGTTTATGAAGCTTCTTGACTCCCAAAAACAAGAAGGAAGCACTGATTCTTTCATGAAACTAGATCACAGAGCTCTAGAGAAGCCATTAGACCGGTTTGGAAGCTCAGATTTGTCAAGGGAACATGTTCATACCGAGCAGATTTCAGTCAGTATTCAGCTCGGTGTAGGGGATGAGAAAAAGCCAAAAATATATCGACCAGCCACACCGAGTGAAATGAGGTTGGTGTCTCAGAGTTATGTGCAAGGAGCCAAAGTTTTAACCCACACCAAGGTGTGTTCAGTCGGTGTGCAAGCTCGGTGTGAGAAGGTCCAAAACGCCGAAGAAATATCGACCTCCCACACCGAGCAAAATCAAGCCGGTGTGAACATGGTGGCCAAGGAGGAAATGGGTTCTCAAGAGGGTTCTGAGATATTTCAGAGGCAAGACAACAATGCTGAGGGTGAATCACAAGGAGAACAGCCACAACAAGATTCTCAAACAGCTTGGGAAAGAGATTGGGATACAAGCAAGGCACCTAAAGTGGAACTCAAACCTCTTCCCAAGGGGCTCAGGTATGCTTTCTTAGGTCTCAATGAATCTTATCCTGTGATTATCAATGATAAGCTGTTAGAGGACCAAGAGCATAAGTTGTTAGAACAGTTGAGAAAACATAGGAGAGCCATTGGCTACTCTCTGGATGACATAAAGGGTATCTCACCCTCCCTATGGACTCATAGAATTCACTTAGAAGAGGAGTCTATGGAATCCATAGAGCATCAAAGGTGTCTCAATCCCAACTTAAAAGAGGTAGTGAAGAAAGAGATTCTCAAACTCCTAGAGGCTAGGATAATTTATCCAATCTCAGACTCTAGATGGGTTACACCAGTCCATGTGGTTCTCAAAAAAGGGGGAATGACAGTAATAAAGAATGAGAAGGATGAGCTGATTGCTACTAGGACTATAACAGGACACAGGATGTGTATAGATTATAGAAAGCTCAATGCAGCCTCTAGGAAAGACCATTTTCCTTTGCTTTTTATTGACCAAATGCTAGAGAGGCTTGCAAACCATCCCTTCTTTTGTTTTCTAGATGGTTACTCTGGATTTTTTCAAATCCCCATAGATCCAAGAGACAAAGAGAAGACCACATTCACCTGTCCCTATGGGACATTTGCTTATAGGTGCATGCCATTTGGGCTGTGCAATGCTCCTGCTACTTTCCAGCGTTGCATGATGTCTATTTTTTCAGATCTGATTGAGGAGAAAGTAGAGGTCTTCATGGATGACTTCTCAGTCTATGGACACTCTTTCTCCTCTTGTTTGTCTAATCTTTCGCAGGTCCTGGATAGATGTGAGGAGCACAGTCTGGTGTTAAATTGGGAAAAATGTCACTTCATGGTCCAAGAGGGAATAATGTTGGGGCACAAGGTCTCAGAAGCTGGAATAGAAGTGGACAGAGCAAAGGTGGAAGTGATGGTGAATCTGCAAGCTCCAAACTCAGTCAAAGGGATAAGAAGCTTCCTTGGACATGCAGGGTTCTACAAGAGGTTCATCAAAGACTTCTCAAGAATATCTATGCCTTTGACTAGGCTGTTGTGCAAAGAGGTTGAATTTGTCTTTGATGCTGAGTGTGAGGAAGCTTTCAAGAAGATCAAGGAGGCATTGATCAGTGCACCAATTGTCCAGGCCCCTGATTGGTCATTGCCCTTTGAAGTGATGACAGATGCTTCAGACTATGCAGTTGGAGCTGTGCTTGGTGAGGAAGGACAGAAAACTTCATGTGATCTACTATGCCAGTAGGACCCTTGATTCTGCTCAGGAAAAGTATGCAACCACAGAAAAGGAAATGCTGGCAATAGTTTTTGCATTTGATAAATTCAGAAGCTACCTGGTGGGATCAAAAGTCATTGTGTACACTGATCATGCAGTCCTCAGATATCTCATGACTAAGAAGGATGCCAAGCCCAGACTCTTGAGGTGGGTTTTACTCCTGCAAGAATTTGATATGGAAGTGCAGGACAAGAAAGGCATTGAAAATGGAGCTGCATATCATCTTTCTAGGCTGAGAGTGGAATCAGATGTCCCTCTAGATGACTCACTTCCTGAGAAGCATCTACTGGTTGTTAGGTCTTACTTGGAGGTCGAGCAGGCTGATGCTATAAGAGAGAGGAGTTTACCTTGGTTTGCAGACATTGATAATTATCTCTCTTGTGGTGTAGAGCCACCTGAACTAGATGCCTACAAGAGAAAGAGATTCTTCAAGGAATTGCAAAGGTATCATTGGGATGAACATTATTTGTATGTTCTAAACAAAGACCACCTACATAGGAGATGCTTAGCTGAGGAAGAGATGCAACCAGTGCTACAGGAATGTCATGGCTCAGCTTATGGGGGTCATTTAGGAACTTTCAAGACAGTGGCTGTGTGAGCCAAACCTCGCACAACTAAAAATTTGTAAGGAAAAACTAAGGGATCCAAAATTTCTAGGGTAATCGCAAGAACAGTAAGATCAAAAGAAGGTTTTGTTTGCTGTGAAAGTGTTTAGGTCTTATTGCTCTCGAGTTGTGAAAAGTTACAGAATGAATTGCATACATCGTCTATTTATACTAACTTTCTAAACCGCCTAGCCGAGAATCTTGGGAGAGATTTTAGGAACATTTCCTTATCGCTTCATGCGGCCACCGCCTCTAGGCATCGCCTAGGGTTTTTATGGACTTTCTCTCTTCAAGACTTCGGTTCGGCCCATCTCGAAAGGTAACGGATCGGCCCACTCTCCTTCTTGCACGGCTCAGCCCATCTTCACTGGTGTACGGCTCGGCCCATGTTCTCTCATACGCGGCTCGCCCATTTTCTCGTCACAGCTCGGCCCACTCTTCGTTGTTCTCACGGCTCGGCCTATCTATCCTTTTCCACGGCTCGGACCACTCGTCTTGGTGAGCACAGCTCGGCCCACTTGTTTCGTGGGTTGTCTCGGTTCGTATCTGGCGGGCAGCTGTTCCTTCTTGCCTAATTGGTTTTCTCCGGTACTTGGTCATTTTTGAGATGGTTTTATCCGATTGGGGTGAAACCGACCCCAACAGTTAGCCCCCCAGCTCGTCAATTTCGGAGACGAGAGTGACGAGGTTCATTGCTCCTAGCCATGGGGTAAATTATCGGGTTAAGCCGTCGCGGAAAAATTTCAGGTGAGGCGTTTGGGAATAAAAATTCCAAGCCATTCTTTGATGACGCATTAAACCGAGCCGTCTTCGGCAGGGCTGTTCGAAGGAAATTACCAAGCTGTTCAAAAGATGAGGTTACTTTGACAAAGATAGCGCCGAGCTGTTTTCAACGACGTGGTGTTTATGTAGTGCCGAGCTATGTTTAGCGACGAGGCGTGTCAAGATAAGAGATAATGCCGAGCCGTTTTGTTAACGGCGAGGCGTGTCAAGATAAGAGATAATGCTGAGCCGTTTTGTTAACGACGAGGCGTGGCGCAATCTGTGCAGTTTGATGAGATATCCTTAGGAAAAGGATTGTACGCGAGGCGACTTGTGAAAGTTATGCAGAGCCGAATAAACGACGAGGTATTTTGTGAAAGTTATGCCGAGCCGAATAAACGACGAGGCGTTTTGTGAAAGTTATGCCGAGCCGAATAAACGACGAGGCGTTTTGTGAAAGTTATGCCGAGCCAAATAAACGACGAGGCGTTTTGTGGAAGTTATGCCGAGTCGAATAAACGACGAGGTGTTTTGTGAAAGTTATGCCGAGCCGAATAAACGACGAGGCATTTTGTGGAAGTTATGCCGAGCCGAATAAACGACGAGGCATTTTTTCTAAGAAAGTTGCCGAGCCGTTTCGCGTTAATGATAATGACGAGGCGTTCTTATGAAATTGTCGAGCCGTATCGACAAAACATGGTTCGGTTCACACAGCTTGATGAGATGTTCTCAGATAACCATAGCTGTGTCATGGGCTCAGTTTATCTGGACAGAGCGGCTGTTAGTTCTTTCCAAGACATCTTGGGTGTTGGCGTGTATGACGGGCGCGCCAAGAGGTTACGCATTCGCCGCGGACTTCACGCGCCCCCATTGAACACACCTTTGCACAATCCCAAGGTCCACGCGGACTTCACGCGCTTTGGTTTTCCTATAAATAGGTGAGCTCCTTCGTTCCTTCTCATAATCTTCAGATCCATTCGTTTTCACTAAAAGGTAGCTCTCCCTTCTCTCTTCTTTCTCTCTCTAGTTTATTTATTTTCCGGCTAGGGTTCCGAGGTCTCCGCCGCCTCAGATCTTTTTCCGACAAAAGTTAGCCGCGTAGAATTGTATTTTCCGTTCCAACTGTAAATCATGTCAAACCATTCCAACGATTCATTAGATTCACTCTTTAACTACGAGCCGAGCCGTGCAGACGCCGAGGCGAAAGGTGTAACAGGATCCTCCGAGGCGTCTATCTCGCCGAGCCCTTCCAACCGTTTATCCGAAAGCGACAAGGCGTCGAATCGCTCAAGTCCGTCAGGCTCTCGCTCTCCAGATGACGAGCTGTCGGTTTCGACGAGCCGCCTTCATGGTTCCGCTCATGAAGATGTTAATCATGCTGCAGTGACAGCCGAGGAGGAAGCGTTTCCCTTTGATATGTTCGAGGTGAAGCGTGAATTAGAACGTATCATGGCATCCCGAGGTGCTTCTTCATCTGGGCGAGGGAAGCGAGTGAAAAGACAAAAACCTGACCCGCCCGGCTCTACGTTCTCCTCCCCTGACTCAATCGAGGCGTTGAGATGTCGATTCGGGATATCCGAGGCGGTAGAGTTCGTCCTTACAGAGAAGAATGACCGAGCCGACAAACCTCCTGAGAATCACTTTACTCTGTACGAGGCGTTCTTTGAGCTTTGTTTTCTCTGGTTCCTGATCCCCGGAGTTATCCTTGAGTACCTCTGGAAACATGGGATCTCAATCGGGCAGATCAAGCCGAGGGGTCTGCGGCACATGATCGATATTCTGGTTCGAAGTTTTGAATGCGGGCTCGATATTGAACTGAATCACCGGCTAAACTTGTTAGAGATCAGAAAAGCTACGAAAGGAGACAGATTTTACATCTCCAACAAGTCTAACCGCCGGATCATAGGAGGTTTTCCAAGCAAGGATCAGTTTTCGACCGAGCGCTTCTTCTATGTCTTGGTGAACGAGGCATCAGTCGGCGAGGATTACGTTCAAAAAACCAAGACCGCTTGGGGACCACTTGGTAGCCGATCTGAAGCTTTGCCTCGGCTCGGAGCTATTATCGTATAATCTTCCCTTACTGAATTTTTTTGTGTTGTTTTTGCAGTTCGGAACATTCTTCCCTTAATTCCCGACGACCTCTTTGTTGTCCGAGATTCTCTTGCGGCTCAGAGAGTTAATCGGAGGAAGCATTTTAAATTCGAGAGAGTGAAAAGAGCACGAGCCATTCTTGCCGGAGTTTCTGTTAGCTCTTCGTCTTCAAATTCCTCACTAGACACAAGGGAGAAAATGGTGATCATTACTCTTAGAGACAAGAAAAGGCGCGAAGAAGAAGAAGCTGCAAGACGAGCAGCTGAGGCGGCTCAAACAGAGACCGAGGCTGTCCCTCAGGCCGATCCGTCGAGCCGTGAAGGTGAAAGCACGGTCTGAGCCGCGGAGGCAAACGTTGCCGAGGCGACCGAGAAAGAAGCAGCGCCCGAGGTGGAACCGGGCAAAATTATTCCCGAGGCGCCCAAAGATGACTCTGCGGCGCGGAGTAAAACTCCTTTAAACTCGGCTATTCTGGCTCTTCCGAAGTCATCGAGGCCTCCAACTTCATCTTTATAGAAGTATGATTCTGGCCGAAAACGTTCGGCCGCTGATAAGGGGAAGGGCGTAGCTATCCAAAAGGACGAGCCGGCCAAGAAGAAGCGCAAGCAGGCTCCTGGTGATCCCGCTGCACGCAAACTGGTCGTCGACGACCCTGACGCCTCGGCAATGATGTTTGCACATGTTAACAATGCGAACACGCGTCTTCCTCCTCCTAAGAAGCTGAGGAAACCGAGGTCGTATGGCGCAATGGCACAGCGCGGTACCAAGGTATGTTCTGTTTGCTCTCCTTATTATATCAAATTCTCACTAAGCGTTTAACGTGTATTATTCTTTGCAGTTTGTAGCGGCCATCAACGAGCTGATGGCTGAATACGAGGCGGACCTGTCCAAGGTCGAACGTCGCCTGGACGAGGCTCGGAACGAGACCGCGGCGGTGAAGGGGAAGCTGGACGAGGCGATGACCAGGGTGTCGAGGCTAGAAGAGGAGAAGATAGTTCTTCGTGCCGATATCGACAAGGTTTCTGCCTCGGTCATTAGCCTCGAGGAAGCTAGGAGAGCCAAAAGCGCCGAGGTGGCGTTGCTCAAAAGGCGTATCGAGGCCAAGGATGCCTTGTTTAACGTCAAGGTCAAGCGTGCGAAGAAGGAAGCGAGGCGAGAGCTGACGGCTATGTTTCAGGAGCGCCTCGCCAAGGTGGAGGAAGGTTTGGCCAAGCTCGAGAAGACCAAACCAATGAGAACGAGCTGGGGCAAATCAAGGGCACCCTTGCGATGATTGCCGATTTGAGGAAACCAGACGCCCCAACGCTCGACGACGAGGAGGCGAAACTAAAGAGCTGGGAGAGCGAGTACGCGGACGACAAGGCGTATGAGCGCATTGCCTCTGAGATCCGAGGTGAGCTGGTCTTCTCGCCCGTGTCACCGGTCTCTGTAGACACTAGTATTGGTAACGAGCCGCTCGAAGAGACAGCGGCCAACTTGGGTGTCGTAGATCCGACAAGATCGAATGCGGGTACGCCGGCCCTTTCGAACCTCCTTGCCGAGCGTGGAACGCAGGCCGCGGCTTGATCCTCTCCTCCTTCCCTTATATCTTCCGTCTTATATGTTTTTGTACTTAAGGTTTGGATGACTTTATCCGTTTCTCAAACTTTTTATGTAACTGATACCTGGATGACTTTATCCACCTGACTTATTGATTTGGCTATGGTTATATTTATCTTTTCCTTAGTCGTTTTTTTGTTGGATTTGATGCGTTTGTTCTTGATTGAATTTTTTTGACGAAAACTGTTTGTTTGGAACGAGTTATCGTTATCGAGCTGTGTCGGGAATGCTTTCGATTGCTTCCCTGGCCGAACTGTTTACGAAAGATCGATAGAAAAACAGGCCAAGGGACAAGTTGTTAAGGATTCTGTTTTAAGTATAAATCTCGAGCTGGGAGTTGATTTGTGGAGCGTCTTCGTTTTAGGTAGCTCTTAAAAGAAACTAAAGTTCCCTTGTGCCTTCCACCGTTAGTGTCGAGGCGTTTGAGTTAGGAAAGAGAGAAAAAGTGCTAAGTTTGGATCTCTTGTTGCCAAGGTCTACGTCCTGAGACGATATCAAAGTTTGATTATAGACCGGCGTTCCCGAGGGGGTGAATGCGTTTAGCCGGGTGTTAAGAGTTCGTTTCGGTCTTAGAGAAAGCGATGTAGTCTCGACTTACAATCTCGTGTGCGATGACGAACCGTGGCGACCAATACGTTTTTGGTCTGAACTTTGTATAGCGCGCTTGATTTTAATCCATAGAGGATGTGACTTCACGCGCCCCCATTGAACACCTTTGCACCATCCCGAGGTCCACGCGGACTTCACGCGCTTTGGTTTTCCTATAAATAGGTGAGCTCCTTCGTTCCTTCTCATAATCTTCAGATCCATTCGTTTTCACTAAAAGGTAGCTCTCCCTTCTCTCTTCTTTCTCTCTCTAGTTTATTTATTTTCCGGCTAGGGTTCCGAGGTCTCCGCCGCCTCAGATCTTTTTCCGACGAAAGTTAGCCGCGTAGAATTGTATTTTCCGTTCCAACTGTAAATCATGTCAAACCATTCCAACGATTCATTAGATTCACTCTTTAACTACGAGCCGAGCCGTGCATACGCCGAGGTGAAAGGTGTAACAGGATCCTTCGAGGCGTCTATCTCGCCGAGCCCTTCCAACCGTTTATCCGAAAGCGACAAGGCGTCGAATCGCTCAAGTCCGTCGGGCGCTCGCTCTCCAGATGACGAGCCGTCGGTTTTGACGAGCCGCCCACAGGGTCCCGCTCACGAAGATGTTAATTATGCCGCAGTGACAGCCGAGGAGGAAGCGTTTCCCTTTGATCTGTTCGAGGTGAAGCGTGAATTAAAACGTCTCATGGGATCCCGAGGTGCTTCTTCATCTGGGCGAGGGAAGCGAGTGAAAAGACAAAAACCTGACCCGCCCGGCTCTACGCTCTCCTCCCCTGACTCACTCGAGGCGTTGAGATGTCGTTTCGGGTTATCCGAGGCGGTAGAGTTCGTCCTTACAGAGAAGAATGACCGAGCCGACAAACCTCCTGAGAATCACTTTACTCTGTTCGAGGCGTTCTTTGAGCTTTGTTTTCTCTGGTTCCCGATCCCCGGAGTTATCCTTGAGTACCTCTGGAAACATGAGATCTCAATCGAGCAGATCAAGCCGAGGGGTCTGCGGCACATGATTGATATTCTGGTTCGAAGTTTTGAATGCGGGCTCGATATTGAACTGAATCACCTGCTAAACTTGTTGGAGATCAGAAAAGCTCCGAAAGGAGACAGATTTTACATCTCCAACAAGTCTAACCGCCGGATCATAGGAGGTTTTCCAAGCAAGGATCAGTTTTCGACCGAGCGCTTCTTCTATGTCTTGGTGAACGAGGCATCAATCGGCGAGGATTACGTTCAAAAAACCAAGACCGCTTAGGGACCACTTGGTAGCCGATCCGAAGCTTTGCCTCGGCTCAGAGCTATTATCGTATAATCTTCCTTTACTGAATTTTTTTGTGTTGTTTTTGCAGTTCGGAACATTCTTCCCTTAATTCCGACGACCTCTTTGTTGTCCGAGATTATCTTGCGGCTCGGAGAGTTAATTGGAGGAAGCAGTTTACATTCGAGAGAGTGGAAAGAGCACGAGCCATTCTTGCCGGAGTTCCTGTTAGCTCTTCGTCTTCAAATTCCTCACTAGACACAAGGGAGAAAATGGTGATCATTACTCTTAGAGACAAGAAAAGGCGCGAAGAAGAAGAAGCTGCGAGACGAGGAGCTGAGGCGGCTCAAATAGAGACCGAGGCTGTCCCTCAGGCCGATCCGCCGAGCCGTGAAGGTGAAAGCACGGTCCGAGCCGCAGAGGCAAACGTTGCCGAGGCGACCGAGAAAGAAGCAGCGCCCGAGGTGGAACCGGGCAAAATTATTCCCGAGGCGCCCAAAGATGACTCTGCGGCGCGGAGTAAAACTCCTTCAAACTCCGCTATTCTGGCTCTTCCGAAGTCATCGAGGCCCCCAACTTCGGCTTTATAGAAGCATGATTCTGGCCGAAAACGTTCGACCGCTGATAAGGGGAAGGGCGTAGCTATCCAAAAGGACGAGCTGGCCAAGAAGAAGCGCATGCAGGCTCTTGGTGATCACGCTGCACGCAAACTGGTCGTCGACGACCCTGACGCCTCGGCAATAATGTTTGCACGTGTTAACAATGCGAACACGCGTCTTCCTCCTCCTAAGAAGCTGAGGAGACCGAGGTCGTATGGCGCGATGGCACAGCGCGGTACCAAGGTATGTTCTGTTTGCTCTCCTTATTATATCAAATTCTCACTAAGTGTTTAACGCGTATTATTCTTTGCAGTTTGTAGCGGCCATCAACGAGCTGATGGCTGAATACGAGGCGGACCTGTCCAAGGTCGAACGTCACCTGGACGAGGCTCGGAACGAGACCGCAGCGGCGAAGGGGAAGCTGGACGAGGCGATGACCAGGGTGTCGAGGCTAGAAGAGGAGAAGATAGTTCTTCGTGCCGATATCGACAAGGTTTCTGCCTCGGTTATTAGCCTCGAGGAAGCTAGGAGAGCCAAAAGCGCCGAGGTGGCGTTGCTCAAAAGGCGTATCGAGGCCAAGGATGCCTTGTTTAACGCCAAGGTCAAGCGTGCGAAGAAGGAAGCGAGACGAGAGCTGACGGCTATGTTTCAGGAGCGCCTCGCCAAGGTGGAGGAAGGTTTGGCCAAGCTCGAGAAGACCAAACCGATGAGAACGAGCTGGGGCAAATCAAGGGCAACCTTGCGATGATTGCCGATCTGAGGAAACCAGACGCCCCAACGCTCGACGACGAGGAGGCGAAACTAAAGAGCTGGGAGAGCGAGTACGCGGACGACAAGGCGTATGAGCGCATTGCCTCTGAGATCCGAGGTGAGCTGGTCTTCTCTCCCGTGTCGCCGGTCTCTGTAGACACTAGTATTGGTAACGAGCCGCTCGAAGAGACATCGGCCAACTTGGGTGTCGTAGATCCGACAAGATCGAATGCGGGTACGCCGGCCCTTTCGAACCTCCTTGCCGAGCGTGGAACGCAGGCCGCGGCTTGATCCTCTCCTCTTTCCCTTATATCTTCCGTCTTATATGTTTTTGTACTTAAGGTTTGGATGACTTTATCCGTTTCTCAAACTTTTTATGTAACTGATACCTGGATGGTTTTATCCACCTGACTTATTGATTTGGCTATGGTTATATTTATCTTTTCCTTAGTCGTTTTTTTGTTGGATTTGATGCGTTTGTTCTTGATTGAATTTTTTTGACGAAAACTGTTTGTTTGGAACGAGTTATCGTTATCGATCTGTGTCGGGAATGCTTTCGATTGCTTCCCTGGCCGAACTGTTTACCAAAGATCGATAGAAAAACAGGCCAAGGGACAAGTTGTTAAGGATTCTGTTTTAAGTATAAATCCTGAGCTGGGAGTTGATATATGGAGCGTCTTCGTTTTAGGTAGCTCTTAAAAGAAACTAAAGTTCCCTTGTGCCTTCCACCGTTAGTGTCGAGGCGTTTGAGTTAGGAAAGAGAGAAAAAGTGCTAAGTTTGGATCTCTTGTTGCCAAGGTCTATGTCCTGAGACGATATCAAAGTTTGATTATAGACCGGCGTTCCCGAGGGGGTGAATGCGTTTAGCCGGGTGTTAAGAGTTCGTTTCGGTCTTAGAGAAAGCGATGTAGTCTCGACTTAACGTGGCGACCGATACGTTTTTGGTCTGAAATTTGTATAGCGCGCTTGATTTTAATCCATAGAGGATGTGACTTGCACCCTCGTCCTAGGAAAGGTGGTAAAAGTCCATTTAGAGAACTTTGTGACTGTTGCCTCGTTGTGGCCAGCAACGAGGCGAGGTGTTTGGAGACTTAGTTTGCCGAAGTGGATACAACGACAAGTAAAAGTCCGAGGCGATCAGGTCACGATAACTTGTCGAAGTGATGAATGAATGAATTAAAAATCTGAGGCGAACATGAAATAAGTAGCTGATTTAAAAAGAATGAGAAACTAGCCGAAGCGACAATGAACGAATTAGAATTCCGAGGTGAAGATGAAATAAGTAGCTGGTTTAAAACGAATGAGAAACTAGCCGAAGCGACAATGAACGAATTAGAATTCCGAGGTGAACATGAAATAAGTAGCTGGTTTAAAACGAACAGAAAATTGGCCAAAGTGGCAATGTTCCTAGAGACGGTAGATGAGCTAAAATTGTAGAGTTAAATGAAGGTATGTGTATACGTATCCACTCCCCCCCCCCTTTTTAGGAGGGGGGACAGCTGAACCCGTCCGAGGACGGGCTGCCTACGTACCCTTTTGCAGAGATCAAGCCGTCCCGTAGTTCATGTTAACCGTGTTGTAGCCTTAGTGATAATACCTCTTTAGGTGTATTGCATTCCATGATCTTGGAATTGTTTCGTCAGCTACTGTCGCAAGTTCGTAGACTCTTGGGCGAACTACTTTTGTAATCTTGTAAGGACCTTCCCAATTTGCTCCGAGCTTTCCTGCATTCTTCTCAGCAGTGTTTTGGAAAACTTTTCGAAGGACGAGCTCTCCTTTAAATCTTCGACTACGGACATTTTTGTTGTAGTATCTCGCCGTTGCTTGTTGGTAGTTCTGAATTCGGATTAGAGCCTGGTCGCGCCTTTCGTTGACCAAATCGAGTTCGTCCAGCATCATTAAATGATTCAAGCCTTCTTGTCCCGGCAGAAGTCTTCGTCGAATACCTGGGAAATCCACCTCGGTGGGGATTACGCATTCCGCTCCATAGACTAGAGCGAATGGAGTTTCTCCGGTGGCTCGGCGCGGAGTTGTCCGATGCGACCAAAGGACTCCTTCGAACGCATCTGTCCATCGTCCTTTCTTGGCGTCGAGCCTCTTTTTTAGACTGTCTAGGATCGTCTTGTTGGCTGCTTCGGCTTGTCCGTTCCTCTGAGGATACCTTGGCGTAGATTTTCTCAAACGGATTTTCTATTTCTCGCAGAAAGCTTCGAAACGCGTTGAGATGAACTGGGATCCGTTATAGGTGACTATCTCGTAGGGGACCCCGTGTCTGCAGATGATATTTTTCCAGACGAAGTGTTCGACTTGAGCATCCTTTATGCTCGCGTAAGAATCGGCCTCGACCCACTTAGAAAAATAATCCGTGAGGACGAGCAAAAAGCGCTTTTGCCTTGATCGATGTAGAGGTCCGACAATATCCATTGACCATCTCATGAAAGGAAAAGGTGACGAGATCGATGACAGCAGCTCGGTAGGCTGGTGAATAGTTGGTGCGTGCCGTTGACACTTCTCGCACTTCGCCGTAAGCTTCTCGCAGTCCTTGACCATCGTAGGCCAAAAGTAACAGTGCCATTTTATCTTGATCGTGAGCGCTGTGTACTTTGTGCATGATCCTTCTTGCCTCCGGTCCTTCGACGCACGTCATGAGCGGTCCTGAAAATCTCCATTTAAACAACTCGCCGTCGAAGAGGACATATCGCGCGGCCTGAGCTTTTAATTTGCGGGCTTCCCACTTGTTGGTTGGTACTTCTCCATCGGCGATATACACTCGGATGGCTCCTAGCCATTCTTTGTCGCAGCCGTACTCCAGCTCGGCTGGTGAGGCGTCTTCATCCATAGCGACTGCTTCGTCGTTTTCTGGTTCCTGCTCGGGAGGATTTATCAGCCGAACTCCTTTTACCTCTTTGATGCTAGGACGTTCGATGAATAAGACTAGAATTTTCCGTTAGACATCCGGGTCTGAAGTCAAGGCAAGTGCTGCCAAGGCGTCAGCCGAGGTGTTTCCGCCTCGGGGTATTCATATGATTTCGAACTCGTCGAACTTTTGCACCAACTCTCTGACCACCTTGAGGTAAGCTCCCATTCGTCTGTCCTTCGCCTCGTATTCGCCGTTGAATTGACACGCTACAAGCTGTGAATCGCAAAAGGTTCTTATCTTTTGAACTCCGATTCCCTGTGCTAGTTGTATGCCGGCGATCAGCGCTTCGTATTCTGCTTCGTTTTTTGAGGCGTGGAAGTTCAGGCGAAAAGACTGCTCCAATATTTCTCCGGTGGGAGAGGTGAGACGAATTCCTATTCCCGAGCCGTGTTTAGACGACGAGCCGTCGACGTGCAGCGTCCATACTTCGTCTGGGGTTGGCTCGTTCGTCGCTTCGGCTGGAAGTTCGATGAGAAAATCTGCGAGCACCAGTGACTTTGCAGACGATCTGTTCCGATACTCGATGTCGTACTCGCTCAACTCTATGGCCCACTTTGCAAGCCGACCGGATTGGCTCGGGCTGTGCAGGATCGAGCGCAGCGGAAGTGTAGCGAGCACAACAATCGAATGTGATTGAAAATACGGACGCAGCTTGCGTGTCGAGACTACGACGGCTAGGGCGACTTTCTCGATCTGGGAGTAGTGGGTCTCGGGGTCGGTCAGTGTCTTGTTGACGTAGAAAATGGGTTTTTGCTTGGACCGTTCTTCTCTGATAAGCACCCCACTCACAGTTGTAGAATATACGGCGATGTAGAGGAAGAGAGGCTCTCCTTCAACTGGTTTCGCCAAGATTGGCAGGCTTGCCAGATAACTCTTCAATTCATGGAAAGCTGCTTCGCATCGCTCCTCCCACTCGAATTTCTTATTTCCCCGAAGGGTGTCGTAGAAAGGCAGGCACTTGTCAGCGGAACGGGAAATAAACCTGTTTAGTGCAGCGACCCTTCCTGTAAGCCTTTGCACTTCTCGCTTCGTCCTTGGAGAGGGCATCTCGATTAATGCCTTGATCTGTTTGGGATTCGCTTCAATGCCTCGGTGAGTTACCAGATAGCAGAGAAACTCCCCCAAGGTGACCGCAAATCTACACTTCGCCGGGTTCAGTTTCATGTTGTGTTTGTTCAACTGCTCGAAGCATTCTTGTAGGTGCGCGATATGATCCTTCTCTTCACGAGCCGTTGATATGTTGCCCCTGCGTTCTTGAGTCCGAACGGCACGACTTTGTAGCAGTATATCCCACGATCAGTTATAAATGCCGTCTTTTCCCGATCATCAGGATGCATCAGGATTTGGTTGTAGCCGGAGAACGCGTCCATAAATGTTAACAGCCTATTTCCCGCAGTGGCTTCGACGAGCCGGTCGATGTGCGTAGAGGAAAGCTGTCTTTTGGGCACGCCTTGTTGAGGTCAGTGAAATCTACACAGACCCGCCACTTTCCGTTCTTCTTCTTCACAACCACTGGATTCGCAAGACAGTCTGGATATTTGGCATCGGCGATTGATCCTACTTTGAGCAATCTCTCCACTTTGTCGTTAACCGCTTTGGCTCGTTCGGGTCCGAGTTTCCTTCTTTTTTGCTTGATAGGTTTGAAGGTTGGGTCCACGTTCAGCTCGTGGCAGGTCACGTCGATGCTTATGCCCGGTATATCTTCCGCTGTCCAGGCAAAAGTGTTGATGTTCTCTTTGAGGAGGGAAAGAAGTTTGCTTCGCAGAGGCTCTTCTAGTTTTGCTCCAATTTCGACGCATCGTTCTGGACGCGCTTCATCTATGCACACCGAGTCCACTGCATCACATACCGACTCGGCGCGCGTTTCGTGGCTCTCCGCGATCTGTAATTGCTATAAGAGTTTCGAGATCTCGTTCGCAGGCTCTCGGTCCGTCTTCATCTTTTTGCAATCTATGTCTGCTCGTGCGTCGGTGACAGGGTTCTTCAGCTTGTGCTCCGCTAGGCAGCACATTCGCGACTCCTTCTGATTTCCCCAGATCGTTTTGATGCCTGCTGCAGTCGGGAATCTGAGGCAGAGGTGATAGGTGGAAGGGACCGCCCTCATCGCGTTGATCCATGGAGTTCCCATAATCACATTGTAGATTGCTGGGTGATCGGTGACGCAGAATTCGACGATCCTAGTGACTCCGCCAGCTACCACAGGGAGCCTAATTGTTCCCATAGTCATCGTTGTTTCTCTTGAAAATCCGGTTATAGGTTTGGGGATCGCCGTCACCTCGGAGAGATCGATTCCCATCTTTCTGAGCGTTTCCCTGAAAATGACGTCTACCGAGCTCCCAGTATCGATGATCACCCTCGCTACATCGTGATCCCTGATCGTGAATTCGATCACCAATGGATCGTTGTGTGGTATATCGATTCCTGCTGTTTCCTCCTCGGCGAAGGAGATCACTGTATTCGGGAGGTCGGTCGGTTCTGTCCAATTTTCCTTCGCTTTGGCTCGACGCTGATAAGCTTTGATGGAGGACACCGTGTCTTGGTAATATTGAGATCCACCCATGATCATGTGGATCCTTTGCCTCGGCTCGGGTCGCTCTTCGGGTTCGCCTCTCCTGTCGCGCTTGGTGTTATCGCCTCGTCGGGGAGGATTTGCGGGTTCTGCCGCGCCTCTCGGCTCGGCTCCTTCTTTTGGTTCATTAGGGACGAGGTCTTTGAGGTTAACCGCGTTCTAGAGCTTTCCCGCTGCCATCTTAGCTGCGAGTTTTGCTCCTAGAGTTCGGCATTGTGCCGTTGAATGCCCGTAGGTCTGGTGATACTCGCAGAATGCCTTTGCGTCGTAGTTGGTGGGCTTTCTTACTCAAGTGTTGTTGCACGGCTCTCCTCTTCCGCGTCCAGTGCCTACTTGGTAGTTGTGAGCACCTCTGCTTCTAGGTTCGTCCGAGCTCTGCGTTGTTGCGTTGTTTGATAGATTGCCTTTCTTCGAGGGGCGCGTCAAAATCGAGCTTCGGATTGCTACTTTCGTTGCTTCGTACTGCTCGTCCAAATTCTTCATCTCTTCCTCGTTTACGAAGAAGTCTGATGACCGATGCAAAGCATCTTGAATTGTTTGTGGCGCGTTGAGTGCCATTTCCCGTCGGAATTCGGATTTGTATCACAAAGACCAGTTCAGAGCTTCGAGACTTGAACCTCGCCAGGTAATCCCGAAGCGGTTCGTTCGGTCCTTGGGATAGCGTCCACAGGTCAGCATCAGACGTTCCTCTATCCATAAACATCAAGTATTGTTTAAGGAACAAGGCTGAGAGCTGTTGGAAACTGCCGATCGAATTGCGCTCCTGCCTTGAAAACCACTCGAGCGCGGCTCCCTTGAGATGTTCCACGAATAGTAAGCAATATCCGGCATCTACTTCCCGCTTGGTCAGTTTGGCAGCGTTCTTTGTGGAAGCTCGTCTCATTGCTATCCAAAACGCTGTGATGTGTGCTTTCGGATCGGTTGTTCCTTCGTAAAATGGGATTCTCACCTTCCCGGGCTCGGGAATCCTAGCCTCCGTGATTCTCGCCGTGAATGGTGTTCTCTGGGTTTCTTCAAGCATCTGATCGATCTCGGGCGCAGCACTCATCGTGTTATGCACTTGAGACTTCATGGCGCGTATCTCGGCTACTGTCCGAGCTATTGAGGCTCGCAGTTTTTTGATTTCGAGGGTTTGTGCGTGAGTCATTCCCTTTGACTAGGGAGGTCGCTCCCGCTCTTCTCTCCTCGGCTCGTCTTCGCGCTCCGCCTGCTCGATCCATTGGAGGTTTTCTTCTTCTTCAGTCGGGTTGTCGCCGCGAGCCTGATCGGTGATTTAATCAGTCTAGACGCCGTTTAGTGCCGAGGCGAGCTCTTCTTGGCTTATTCGCCGAGCCGAGCCGTTTTGTTGCGAGTTCGTGGTTCCATCGTTCTGTTAGGCCTCCACGTCGATCGCGTCATTCTCATCTTCGCCGGCTCGTCGCCTTGAGTTCCGACGGAATGGAGGCGGCTCGGTCATGTTGACTCGGGTTGCCGCGGGAGTCTGTTCGCCGAGGGTAGAAACATTGGTGGAGCCATGGGGTTTCTTGCGCTGCTCACTGAGGCCTCTGCAGGTGTAGAGAAATCGAAGCGTCTTCGGATTCCATCCATCAGGTCGGAGATTCCGGCTCTCCAAGTTGGGTGTCGTCGCTCGGCCGTCATTGCGTCGAGCCTCTCTGTAATCGCCTCGTTTCTTTTGTCCTGCTCGTCGATCTTCTTCATCAACGCAGCCATCATGTTTCGCATCTCCTCTTGGGTTTCGGTCGTCACCGTCGTTGTGCCTGATGCTGGGGCGTCCTTCTCCGCGTCGTTATCGTTGTTGTTGTTGTTATCGTCGAGGGTGTTGCTCACCATGTTCTTCGGATCTTAAAGTCTTGTCGATTGTAGAGTAAGAAAGTTTCGATTCCCCTCAGACGGCGCCAAATTGTGTGAGCCAAAACTCGCACAACCAAAAATTTGTAAGGAAAAACTAAGGGATCCGAAATTTCTAGGGTAATCGCAAGAACAGTAAGATCAAAAGAAGGTTTTGTTTGCTGTGAAAGTGTTTAGGTCTTATTGCTCTCGAGTTGTGAAAAGTTACAGAATGAATTGCAAACATTGTCTATTTATACTAACTTTCTAAACCGCCTAACCAAGAATCTCGGGAGAGATTTTAGGAACATTTCCTTATCGCTTCATGCGGCCACCGCCTCTAAGCATCGCCTAGGGTTTTTATGGGCTTTCTTTCTTCAAGACTTCGGTTCGGCCCATCTCGAAAGGTAGCGGCTCCGGCCCACTCTCCTTCTTGCACGGCTCGGCCCATTTTCACTGGTGTACGGCTCGGCCCATCTTCTCTCATACGCGGCTCGCCCATTTTCTCGTCACTGCTCGGCCCACTCTTCGTTGTTCTCACGGCTCGGCCTATCTATCCTTTTCCACGACTCGGCCCACTCGTCTTGGTGAGCACGGCTCGGCCCACTTGTTTCGTGGGTTGTCTTGGTTCATATCTGGCGGGCAGCTGTTCCTTCTTGCCTAATTGGTTTTCTCCGGTACTTGGTCATTTTCGAGATGGTTTTATCCGATTGGGGTGAAACTGACCCCAACAGTTAGCCTCCAGCTCGTCAATTTCGGAGACGAGAGTGACGAGGTTCATTGCTCCTAGCCATGGGGTAAATTATCGGGTTAAGCCGTCGCGGAACAATTCCAGGTGAGGCGTTTTGGGAATAAAAATGCCAAGCCGTTCTTTGATGACGCATTAAACCGAGCCGTCTTCGGCGGGGCTGTTCGAAGGAAATTACCGAGCTGTTCAAAAGATGAGGTTACTTTGACAAAGATAGCGCCGAGCTGTTTTCAACGACGTGGTGTTTACGTAGTGCCGAGCTATGTTTAGCGACGAGGCGTGTCAAGATAAGAGATAATGCCGAGCCGTTTTGTTAACGGCGAGGCGTGTCAAGATAAGAGATAATGCCGAGCCGTTTTGTTAACGACGAGGCGTGGCGCAATCTGTGCTGTTTGATGAGATATCCTTAGGAAAAGGATTGTACGCGAGGCGACTTGTGAAAGTTATGCCGAGCCGAATAAACGACAAGGCATTTTGTGAAAGTTATGCCGAGCCGAATAAACAACGAGGCATTTTGTGAAAATATTGACTTAATGGGTCCTTTTGTGAGCTCCTATGGGAATAAGTACATACTTGTTGCTGTGGATTATGTGTCCAAATGGGTTGAGGTTGTTGCTTCCCCAACCAATGACTCTAAAGTGGTGGTCAAGCTCTTCAAAATCACCATTTTTCCAAGGTTTGGGGTTCCTAGAGTGGTGATAAGTGATGGAGGTTCTCATTTTGTGAACAAGACTCTAGAAGGACTACTAAGGAAGCATGGGGTCAAGCACAAGATAGCTAGCCCATATCACCCTCAGACCAGTGGCCAAGTAGAGGTTTCAAACAGACAGATCAATGCCATCTTAGAAAGGACAGTGAGCAACTCAAGGAAAGACTGGAGCAAGAAGTTGGATGATGCTCTTTGGGCCTATAGGACTGCTTACAAGACTCCCATTGGAAAATCACCTTTCAATCTGTTGTATGGGAAGAGTTGTCATCTACCAGTGGAGCTTGAGTACAAGGCTCTCTGAGCTGTTAAAATGTTGAACTTTGATATTAAAACAGCCCAAGAGAAGAGGCTGCTCCAGTTGCATGAACTTGAAGAGATCAGACTCAATGCCTTTGAAAGTGCAAGGATATAAAAGGAGAAGACAAAGATCTTGCAAGATCAGAAAATTCTCAAGAGGGAGTTTAAGGTGGGAGATCTAGTTCTTTTATTCAACTCAAGGCTCAAGCTCTTCCCTGGTAAGCTGAGATCAAGATGGTCAGGACCATTCAAGGTTTTAGAAGTTAGAAGCTATGGGGCATTGGTGTTGGAGGGGAAAGATGGAAAGGATTTTGTGGTAAATGGACAAAGGGTCAAACACTACCTTGTTTCTGAGAAAAGAGAGGAGGGTTCTACAATTCGTCTTGATGACCTACCAGCCTGTTAAACAGGTTTTCAAAGTCAAACATAGAGACATTAAAAAAAGTTCTCTTGGGAGACACCCCAAGCTTATCCATGTATATAATCTCTTTTCTTGCTTTCTTTTTGGTATTTTTAGGATGTTTTAATCTTTTGTTCAAGTGTGTAAAGGTTTTAGAAAGGTCCAGGTGCAGTTTTGAAAGGATTGGAGAAGAGAAAAGATGAAAACTCGGCTGTGGAATGCATTCATGTCGACTTGGTTCCCCTTGGTGCATTTGCTCGGTGTAAACAGGTTCAAAAAGCCGAGAAAATATCGACCAGGTACACCGAGCAAAATGAGGTTGGCGCAGTGCAGGAAAAAGCCGAGTCTTGTCTCACACCGAGGTGATTCTGCCTGGTGCAAGAACTCGGTGTAGAAAGGGAAGAAACTTAAGAGCACACCGACCTCCCACACCGAGCAAAATCAAGTTGATATGACCATGGTGCAGTCTATTTTCCAGCGGTCCAAAGGGTGGCTCAGTCAAAGTCAAAGATTCCAGCCACTTCCAGCTGTTTCCCACGCCAGAAAAGAGACCCTCCAGCCTTGGTCCACACACAGAAAATCGGTTTTCTCTTTCTTTCCTCCACTTTTGCGAAGAAACACCATTGTTGCTCTCAAAAAGCTTGATTTCTTGCTTGTTAATCGATTTTCCTGGAGATTTCTTTGCCCCATTTCGATTTCTTGCATCAGTTAACCCAGCTCCAAGGTACATTTTGCTTAAATTGCTTCTTAGGTTCAAAACCCCTAAATCGCTGTTCTTCTTGATTTTTCTTGAAGAAATTTTTGTGGAATTAAGAATGCACTGCTTGAAACTGAGTTACAACCTTGGAGTTTAGGTTGTGGGTAGCTAGAAATGAGGTCACTTGTGCCCAATTGTTTCTTGAATCCTGATTTTAGAATCTCTTTAGAACTTGTTGTTCTTGAGCTGAAATTTGGATTTTAGAAAATTATTTTGAAGTGAGAATCTCTTGATGCTGCTTTGGAATGCTTAA